GGGGGGTGCGTCAGGTGCAGAGAAAGATGCTGTTCCTCAACATCCAAGGGTTTAGTCTCACCATACACCAACTGCTCCATCAAGATGTCTGTGTCACTCTCTGTGGCTCAGATTTCTTTGAACAGTCAGTCTATGTGTGAAAAGGTGTGGGGTAGGGTTTAGGCAAACAAATCAATAAACATGCTGCAAAGCATGATTATTGACTGATTTATGGAGAGGTAACATGCAGGTAAAATCACTGCAGATACAGCTGCTGTTTGCACTGGAAGACAGAGGAGGAGGAATGTAGATGCGAGAGAGAGGGCTTAAAAAATGTTCCAAGAACCTAAAGATGTACTCATCAGTGACCCTCTCTCAACATCCATGACCCTGGAGTGTTGATGCCCCTGAAACACACCATGCAGACCTTTCTGTTCTCGAGTAGAGCTGATTGGGAATCGGGAAACGTTTCGAGGTGAGAAGGAGATGTGATAAAATGGAGAGATTTGACCTCTTGGCTCAGAGCCTCTCTGCTTTATCATCTCCAATCGATGACCCAGTCGCTTCATCCCAATCAGACTACAAGCAGGTGGTAAAGGTCAGAGATGGACCTATGGCAATGTTGCTGAGCATTGCTATTATGCTCCTCTGCATCCCAGATGAGGTCCTACCTCTGCTATGACCCGTCTTAACTGGCTGCACTGGATAAAATCCAATTTGAGGAATGAGTCCTTCTTATCAAAGTTTTTGCTTTGGGAATTTTATTATTCAATAAAACCTTCATTTTTAGAAAATATGCTCCATTTAGATTTGACACAGCAGCCCGTGAGCCAGATCTCAGCAGACTTTGGAGAATATGTCTGCGGATGCTAATTTTGAGGAGATGTTATTTATAAAGTGGATTTTTTGACTTGTCATCTTTTTTATTTTTCTCTGTACACTTATAGGCACATTGGTAAAGATCGGCAAAAAACAAAAACCTTGGAATAAATTAATCTATTATTGCAGCTAAGCAATTTCACACTGAAAACTGGAGGAATACCTTTGCGTTTGAGTTGGAGGGGTATTTTACTAAATATTAAATATTTAAAAATGAAACAAATATTTATGAAGTAACAAAACAATACTGAGTAATTAAATTAATTTTGGTTTAATGTATAGCCAAGAAGATTATAAGGGAGGTAAATACAAAAAAAAATCAGCAGGACCTTGTTATCTGAATAACAAGAACACAACATGCCAGGAGAAAGGCTTTAGTGTCCTACAATGACAAACTATAATTTCTCAAACTCTCCTGGTATTAGACTTATGTTGTGTGCTTTAATTAATCAAGCTAGTTTTTTGGAAATGAACACTCTAGGCTAAGCGTGTTGTATGGTAACCTGCTTAAAAACCCATTGCACGATGAAATACGTCTAGAATAAAAATCTGGTGGCTTCGGCCATAAAGCTTCAAATTGTTGATCCTTGTGTCTTTCAACAGGAGAAGCTCAGTGAAGAGGATATAAAATAAAAATCTGTAAAGTTTGAGCTCAAGGATTGGTCAGTTATCAGTCTTTATCCTCCAGCTTCATGTTATACCTGGACCAGGCCTGCTCTCACCAGCAAAAAGCTGCAAAACATGATCAATTACTATGGAGTTGTGTGGCTTCAAATAAAGGATGTATCTCCTCATACAGGACTATAAGACATATATGAGATAATATGCCACTGCAATGATAGATTCATCTATTTTAAGGTCTTGCTAATTTCAACCACATGTGCTAATTATTGTGGGTAGTTCTTCACATCTAATTGTTTCCTATTCTACTTGTTGTTGTCTTCACCTCCACACCTCAGCTCAGCAGCATGCATGTTGGGATAAATGAAAGACTTGCAGCCTCTCATTTTAGAAAGCAGAATCTCATCTACTCTAACTCAGAGTGACCTTGGCATGAACATGAACTTCATCGCCAACAACTGATGTTGAGGGGGAAAAAAGGCCTAATTTTTAATCATGTGAATTTGATTTGTATTCAAATGCATTTAAGAAAAAAAAAAGCCATCTTCATACCAAGTTGTTCTCTGCTTGCTTTACAAAATCTAGAGTAAACTAGGTGAATACACACTCAGAGTCATATATAGCAGCCATCCATGACGGGGTTGAAAAGCTAGGCATTTGTGGAAGGTTAACTGATAGTCCTGCTACTGGCACTGGCAGATTTGGTACTTTGGGAATTTGGAGGTTCACATTTGGTAGATTCACATTGGGCAGATTACTTGTTAAACTCCTGCAGAAAAGACAGACAAAAAGAAACAAAAAAAGAATCCATAACAGTGGTGTGGGAGCTGCAGAAAGCCATGTAACATTCATCATAAAAGTAAAATCTGAAAATAGAAGAAGACACAAGCATACAGTAGCACACATTAACTAATATCAAAGGGACAATATAGAGAAATACCCATGAGTCCAGAGAGCTCAACAAAAACGTGATGTAGTAAAAGCCGTGAAACAGAAAAAAAAGGGCAAAGTAAAACTATCTTGTATATACAATATTGGCTGAAAACAATAAAATGTCACAAACATGTTTAAGCCTCAACAAACAAATCCTAACAAAGACAAAGCAGACTCGGAAAAATGTCAAAGCACATATTATGGTGATTATTTTACAGACAAAACACAAATATAACATGTTGCTCTGATCCCAATGTGTTTTAAAAAAAGGCCTATTGACTCATGCATTAATTGCAAAAAACTACCTCCAGATATAAAAAACCTATTTCTTTCAGTGAAACAAATAGGTTTTTTTCAGCCCACTCTTTGCTCATTCTCTAACAGTGAACCTAAAGGAAGTCAGAGGGAACGTTATCGCTGCTCTCTCGGATTCGTCAGCCTCCACACAGTCATTGTGTTATAAAAGCTTTGCATGTGCAAGCATCCACCAGCCTTGAAACAAAGACACAGGCTCCTTACTTAACAGGTTCCCAGGATTCCCTCTCAAAACCCTTGTGGATAGACTGTGCGATGGAGGACTCCATCAGATCCACATATCTAACCACCAGAGGAGCATACAGATCCTGGAGGTGTTTGTGGAACTTTCCATTGCACAGATAATCTATTGTGGGGGAAAAAGGATGAAACATATACGTTTTAGAATCTTAGTTCAAGATCGATGTGTTTGGCGATATTTGAGTAACAGCTGGAGCTCACAGTCTGTCCGGAGGAAGTCATTGAGAAGCTGGAAAAGAGGGAAGCTATCCCAGCTCTCGGGTGACTGGATCTCTAGAGCAGCATCCATGTCAATGGCATAAAGGGCCAGGAAGTTTTCGGCGTGCTCCACCATAAGGTCTGTCCACCATGCAAAAGCCTGGAGACACAGCAGGAGGGTGAGAAACATGATGAACAGATCCTTCGAAAGGACTAAAGGAGTCGAAACAAGGATTCTTACATGAAAACCCCTGGAGTGTTTTAAAATGTGTGTGCAGTCTCTGATTAATTGTGACATTATTGGGTTATCATTTGCTAAAACTTCACACTTCTGTCATCTATACTTCAAATATGAGGCTAAACTCAGCTACTGCTTTGTTCAGCATAATGGGGTTGTTCACTGTCAGCTAAACTTTTCCAGTTAATCTCATGGACCCTGAGTAGGTTTAAGTTACATATTGAAGTTCTTCAATCTGAGGTGGAATTTAATTTCTTCTAAATCTTCCCCATGAAGTTACTGAGAAGAAGCCAACTAAAAATTTCTAGGCAATTTCTAACAATTAAAATTAGTATTAGAATCTAGTTCTTATGTAAAAAGCCCACAAGTTCCCTTGCTTAATGCTGTGTGGACTGTTAATAAGAGTTTGATACTCTACTGTACATATCAATTTACAAACAGAGTAAAAAAAAAAAGTACAAAGAAAAAGCAGAAAATAGTTTGATAGCATGTTTTAGGCTCTAAAGCTCTAAAGGGATGGAAACTTCCGTAAATAAGAAATGTTGACATCAGGAAAGATGCTAGGAGCCTCGCTGTGTTATCAACAGTAAGCATGATCAGTGGTAGATATGTTGGGAATAATGCTCCCTTCAGATAAATTCCAGTATTATTTACAAGGCAACTGAAAGAATGTAAGCAAGCAATATAATAAATTAAATGTTACCCAAAGCTTATGCAAACATGAGCTAAAATGCTAACATTTGCTGAAATGTTTACTGTTACAGAGCAAAACCTAATCTAAACACTGAAATAAAGCAATAAAGAGGCATTTGCTTCTTTGTTACCAAGATATTCTTGCAAAAAAAAAAAAAACTACACACATGATATTTACTTGGTAAATACTACAGTAAATTTGCTGCTTCAGGAGGTATAATCTAAAATTTGCTATAAAGAGTGTCTTTTAAGCAACAAGCTTTTTTTTTTTCCGAGATAATTTTTCCAGATTCTCTAAACTGCTATGACAGCTGTCTACTGGCAAAATCATAAACCCACAGTAAAATCAGTCCTTAAAGCAGAATATTTAAATTGACATAATGTCTGATTTCATGATTCAATGTTATTTCAGGAAGACTTGTCTAATTAAAACTCTTTCTTTTAGAATCAGTAGTTTAATGACAGGAGCCTTTACTGCATGCTAGTCATAACTACAGAAGTTTAGGTGTTTTAGTCTTAAATAAGTCCTCACAATTCAATATTTAATGTTCAGACAGAGATAGATTGGTGTTATTGATTTTACATGGTACATGCTTTTTTGAACGTGATTGACCAGAATGAGGGTGTCAGTCTGTTGGTTTGTGTGTAATTGAGAGAGCTTTTCACATACATCATGAGTAACTTTATTGTAACTTGTTCAGATTGGCAAAGTTGTATTGCTAAAAAAATGTCATACAAAATTATTCCTATCGATTACCTTAAAGGAGCAATAAGCAATAATTCATTATTTTAGACAGAAAGAACTAAAGGTTGTTAGGTCAGGAACTAATGGTATCTTTTTAGCTGAAATAAGGGGTGACATCACACCCCATCTCTTCGTGTTGTTCTCCAGTTTCATGTTTATGAGCTTTATTTCTCTGAAAGTTAATGCTGTTTTGCTTTCAGAGCAGGTTTATCCCTGGAGTGAAGGTAGAGAGAGGCGTTTGCACATTATGTTTTGGTCTACAGATAATGCTCAACAGCACCACTAAGAGGTGAAATTTTACTTATTGCTCCTTTAACATTTTGTCAAGTTACAAACTCAAAGTTTAGTGGATTTTAGTGTTTTTCCAACCTTTTATATTTGGAGTTTTGAATAAATTTTTCTTTGTCATAATAGATAAAGAGCTTCATGCTTTGGTTAGAGTCTCAGATCTTCTAACTGAAACGTATCTACATCTATCCAGAAAAACTTTCAAATATCCAATAGATATAATTCCACTTCATTTTTCTGTCTTTCTTGATGTAGATTCTTTAAAAAAATTACAATGTGTCCGAAGCCTGAAATGTGGCAAAAGGTCAAAAAGTGCAAGGGGGTGGATACTTTTGTAAGGCACTGCAGCATGGTTAATAATCACTGGCTGATTCCTGTCTATTTCTCTTCTAATGGGCCCCAAGCCTGCTTTCCTATTTTATAGCTTTTTTCGCCCAGTCTTAGTTTAGATGGATGACTACTTATTCAAAGCTCTGCAGATATTCCATGCTTTGTTATTCTTAATTCTTGGATTAATTCATTTTAAGATGTTTAAAGTTCTGGCCTACTTTAAATTTAATTGCAGCTTTTTCTCTGACCTTCACAAACCACCCATATATGAAATTATACATCCTGTAAATACACTCTTTCCAGGTGTATTCTATTGATCTGAATGCAACTTGTTGCTGGATTTTTCTAGATCCAGATTAAATAAGGCTTGATAGAGAAAAACTATAACCATGTCTACTTTTCCTTTCACCTCATAGTCATGAGCTACTTTCTCCTGGTCTGTCACATAAAGTCACAGTAAAATAAGGTGAAGTTTGTAACGTGACAAAATGTGGAAAAAGTTAAAAGTTGGAAACCTCTGCCATCCACTTTATGTTCCTTAGTGACATATTCTGTGCACAAAAGGCAAAGATGCTATTCCCATGCAAATGTGGATCTCCCTGCATGCTTTTTTTTTCTGAAGCTTAGGAAACAAGGGGGTCCACCATTCACATCAGCAGCAATCCCACTAGATGTGAATGTGACTCATGCACATATTTAAATATAGGCACACCAAAGACTGCAGCCCACAGCATGTCTTGACTCTCTTCCAATTAGTTAAGTAAAGTTTTTAAGTATCAGATAACAACTGTTTGGCACTGTCAGGACCTCCTCACTCATTAACAGTATTTGCTTAGCTGGCAGTCTTGGTTTATTTGTTTATCATTCAAGCTAACATGTTGCCAAATTCAATAACAGAAGCTTAATCCTTTGCATGCTTCAGTTTTATCCTCTTGTTATTTTACCACCTGGAATAATAATCAATGGCAAAACAGATTTACTTAAACACCAACTTACCTGCCCATTGCTAGAATAAAAAAAGCATGATAGCTCTAAAGTTAGAAGAACAAAACAGGCAGCAAACAAGTCCTTCACCACATTCAAGGAGAAATACTCTCATGAAAGGCAAATGAGAGGACGGTAGATTTTCCGTCAGGTTAACGCCCTAAGGTAGTGCAGCCTCCACCCTTTGATAGTAGCTGAGGGACCCAAACGTGACTTAAGGAGCTCTATGTCAGACTTAGTAAAGGCACAAAGGCTGCAACGCTGTATCAGTAAAACTGTGCCAAATGACAAGGCCGGGCCAGGGAGGAAGGGGGAAGGAGGGGTTACTGATGCTGAAAGGGTAGGATATGTGGAATTGTGTGCTTTGACATGCACAGAGCATTATGGGGAGGGGTTCCCATTAAGCTGGCTACGTACCTCTTTTCCCTGCTTCCACAGTCACCAATCATTAGACAGTAAAAACACAGGAAGATGTACAGAACAACAATGTAGTTTGAGTCATTTGTTTGAAAAGGGTTTTTATGCTAAAGACAGATAGCAGAAAGGGATGGAGGAGGAGAAGCTGGAAAAGAAATTTTTGAACAAGTGTGGACTGTGAAATCAATTGTCAGATGGAGAGGGAACAAATGTTCATGGTGGATACAACTTCAAAGGTTTGTATGGAGCATACTTTGGGAAATTCTCTGGTTTGGCATGCTTGGATAAAAGGAAACCTCTTCATGGCCTGATGAACATGCTTAATGATCACAATCATGTTGTGAAAGCTAATGTGCGTCTTTTTTTTTTTTTTCATTTCAGAATTTTATTACAAGCTTGCTTTTCAAATCTAGGCCTTTAAACTCACCCAAAGCTACAGCAACTATGAGTTAAATCTTTGCCTGAAACGTGCCTCTTGCCATAGTGGCTCATGCCATACAAGGGGGTTGTGATGGGGACTGAAGAGGAGAAAGAAATATAAATACTGTACCGATTGATCTCCAGAACTTGTGACTGCCGCCTGTCAAGCATATTCAGAGAGATACAATAAATCTGTTTTATCTGCATTTTCTAAGACCATGCTGGATCATCTGCAGATCTACACATCTACACATGGTAAAGCTGTCCTCTAGCAGAACATTCTAGCAGCAAAGGTGATAAAGGGATGAAGCTCATTTGATGTTTTAAATCAACAAATGATGTTAATTTCTCTATGCTTAAAATGTATTATTGGAAATACTGTAATTTTTTTATTACTGTCACTTATGTTTGTCAAATCCATACTGCCATAAGTAAAAAGAGAAGTAAGTCCTTTCATATTTAATTTTATTCATAGTACTATTCAGAGTTTATATAAAAATTGCACAAATTTTGAATGCACAAATTGTAAATACACCCCTTATGTTTGTATAGTTTTTCATGTATTTTTTTCATGAGCAAATCTTGAAGAAGTGACACTTGGATTTAAGTAAAATAACCAGTGTACATAAGAGTGTAAAAAAAACTCAACACACAAAAACGTTTACACTCCCTAGTAAAAGTGTTTAAATTTTCCCAAAGTATCAGCTTTTGGTGTGGCCAACATTATTTTCCTGGAATGCATGAACTCTATTGTAAATAGGGATTGCTTCACAGATTGCCACTGGTGCTGCAGCTGGTGAAGGTGCAACACACATGCAGCCCCAAACCATTACACTCCAACCAATGTTCTATTGCAGACAATATACACTTGTCATGTGGAGTCCTGCTGCCACATAGCGGGAACCGAATATGTTTCTCCTGGTAGCATCAGACCACAGAACAGCCTTGCCATTGCTAGCCAAAGAAATTATGTGCAAGTGGTCATATCTAGATTTTCTGTTAAAAAGAGACAGATATGTGCTGCAAGCACGCTGTGGAGGTTGAACCTATGAGGGAGGTCAGCCAGTCAGCACAAAGGCCATTGACAGCACTTGGCATTCAACTGGTCTTTACTGCTCTTCTGAAGCGAATGCACAAGACAGCCTGCAAACAGTTTGCGGAATAAATAAAAAAGTAAGATTAAAATAGATAAATATAGCCATAGGGTCCCAGAGTGGAGAGCTTCCCCTTGGAATGACTCATGCCGTGGTTGCAGCACTGAGTCTGGCACAGGACGCACTCTAAGGCTAAGGAGCTCAATGACCCAGACAGAAAGTCAGAGGTTCAAACTTGCGATCTTTCAGTCTCTCCAGGAGGCAAACTCCCAGTGATCTAAGCAGTATGCCATCACTTCCCTAGAAGACACGCAGGGGAAGTGGTGGACAGGAATTACCAGAACCATGTCCTAAGTGGAACCAGTCCTGTTAACCCGCTGGGTGGCCACTGTTGCACCTCAGTTTCAGGGTGTTAGAAATCTTCCTACTGACAAAGGGCCTCACAATGTAGAGTACAAAGTCTTTGTTTATGACCCTCAAAGTTTTTCTTTACTATGAGGTGCCATGTTAAATCTACTTTGGCCTGTATGAGAGAGAGAGTAATATTGAAAAAACCTACCACCCATTCACACCTGAGATCTTGCAAAACCAATGAGTCACATGGCACCACGGAGGGAAAATTGTTTAATTGGGCAGATTTGGAGATTTGAACTGAGGGATGTACTAAATGTACAGCAACTGTTTTATTTTACAGGGAAAGGAAAATTGCATTTATTCAATTCATTACTTTATACCCGTCATACCTTGACGATTTAAACCAGCATATTCCTGACGTACAGAAAATCTTGCAAAAAAGCAGACATGCGTTGGAAAAGTTATGGGTAGGTTTTGTAGAAGTTATGAGCACGCTGGCTGAAACACGCTGGCACACGTCGACATACGGCAAGTTCAGTAAGTATGCCAGCGTATGCTCATACGTGGGGCATAAGTCAAAGATAAGTAATCTGATCACTGACATATGTTAAGTATAAGTTACCCATAAGTAGTGGCATCTAGCTTATCCAAAACCTATGAGTAACTTGTGCATAACTTATCTGGAACTTATCAAGAACTTATCTCCAACGCATATCAGCGTATTTGACGTGTTCCAAATGACTGCTGAACGTGTTTCCAACGTACAGCTACCTTATAATGACGTAGTGGCAGCGTTTTGGTATGAAAGGGGTCCACAGGAGGAAAACCATCAGTACTGCTTCAGACTTCATCCCCATCATAGGGTGAGTGAGAAGGTGAGTGTGAGGGATCCTCCCCGCCTTTACGCCCACGACTAACTTCCTAGAAGATATCAAGCTGAATATGCTGTGACTGCAAACCTTTTTTCTTTTTATTTTTGGGGGGGGGGCACTGACTTGTGACATTTAATAGGCATTACACTGCCTTGGTTATGCATGAGTAAGGCTGTCGGTGGACATATGCTCTGGACTCATTATGAATACCCTATATATAAGCCCAAAATTGATAAAACACATTGAAAGTTCAGCATAGGTCAGCTTTTTAGAAGATTCTGGGACGTCAGGATACGCTGGCTAAATTGGCAAGGTGTGACAGGGGCTTTAAATTGCTTCAAAGTGTCATATCTTCAGGATTGTTCTGTGAAAATACATCTTTCACATGAAAAATAAACATAAGCTGTGTATTCACATTTGTGAGATACTGTATCTGAAACTGCAATGCAGCAATTTCTTATTATTTATATTAAATAGTCACCGGTAGGTAAGATGGGTAAACAACTTTATTTCGTAGTGTATTTTTTTTCTCTATTAAAAAACATGAATCACATTTAATAAAAAAAACTCTTATTACACGTTATCAGACTAAATCCACAATAAAAAAAATTCAAAATGAAGAAAAAAGGTTTTTACAAAATCCTGACCTTTCAGAGATTAAATATAAAAAGTTTCTTCTTTAGAAAACGGGATAAAAGAGAGGCTAAATCAAAGGTCAGTGTAAATTAAATCTTCTAGCAGTAAGATAGTAAATAAATCACTATAATTGAAATAGTTTTCATGAATTTAGGCATAGCAGATGCTATTATAATAAAATGTAATTTTTTAAAAACTGAAACATATGGTAACACTGTGAACAAAATAAATACAGTACAATGTATTTTATGTTTTTTTTTTTTTACATAACTGGAACATAGATTAATTTAATGACATTCCCCAATCCAGGAGTTTCCTTTGTAGAATAATGAAACTCAACATATCAAATGGCATTAGGGTCATCAAAATATTTTTGCTATTATCATCTGTGAATTAACTTGCTTTATATTAAAGGGAAAGTCTGATCATATTTAGAAATAAAACTTCTGAAAGTACTTTAAATATGAAATTATTACATACTGTTCAATAAATAATAAGTGTTTTTAATTAAGAGTAATTTTCGTTTGATTGCGCTTTACTGGAGAGATCCATGTTTGTCTAAGAACACTACTGCCACCTACTAGTTTGTGACCTCACAGTGCGGTATCGGCTGTTGAGCAAGTCCTAGTGCTGTATCCTTTGTCATAATGCGCTAATATCCAAGTCATCTTGAAAACATTCTTCTTCGAAATGTTTACTACATATTATGCTCCCTCTACAAGTTGGCAATCCGACGACAAACCCTTCCTTGGAGGATCATAAATCAGAGAGACAGTTTTTTTTTTACTTTTACCTGATCTATTACAACATCAAACTACCATGAAGGTGGGCATTGTCAGTTTAATTATAGCTCTCAGGAATTTCAATGGAGAAGTCCTCTCGAAATCTTAAATAATTATTGTTGATAGCAGATGTGTCTAGTAGTTCCCACTGATTTTGCTTGTAAAGCGGGGAGAATGGCGCTCAGCGTACCGCACCGTGACGTCACTGCCGCGAGATGGCAGGTGTGAGGTGTTACTATATTTGGGCAAAAATTTCTGCTCCAGTGGTCGCAATAAATGTTTTTTATTTTTTTACTGATTAAACGCTAAGTTCATTAAATCAGTGCAAATGTATTAGTTTCAGGTATAAACAATGATAAATCTATTATTCCTTGCAATTGGACTTTTCCTTTAATCCTATTTGTTATTATATTTTGTTGATAGTTTGTTTTCTTGTTCGCAGCAGCCAAAAGTAGCCCACGCTTTGCTGTAAAACTGTTAATTTAAGTGAGTTTAATTGTTCAAACAAGGGAAAATGATAACAAGAAGCATGCTATTTCATATTAACAAAAAAAAATCAATACTGCTGTGGTAAAAAGGAGGTTTAGTTTGCTGCATTGCTACAGTAGTTCAGTAATTCATTCATTTTAAAAAATAATCTTAGAGCACAATATTTGTCACATGCAGAGGCACAACCCTCCACACACACTTTGTTGTCTATTTTTATATGACATGCCGAAACTACAGAGTAACAAAATATTAAGGTTTTTTTTTTTTTTTTTTGAAGTAAGAGCGACTACATCATAGCCTGTCCGACTCGGAAAATATATCTAAAGATAACAGTTCTGGTTCTTTGTAGTCTTATTCAGTTCAATGCTAATTAAAGCTTTCCAAAATTAAATTCATGCAGAATTTGTTTTACTGATAGATGAAAGCAGCTTTATTTATAGCTGCCTGATTATTATGACACTAACTCTCTGAAGTGGAACGAGTGGGATAAGAGTGAGGAGTAAAGAGGGGGAAGTGCTTTGAGGAGGAGAGGAGAGGAGAGGGTTCTCACTCACCTCCGCATGATGTTCCTGGTTCTGCTGGAGGACCTCTATGACTAACTCCGCCAGGCGAATTGTTTCCTCCAGCTTTTTGGCAGGCGTGACTAAGCGGCCTACGTTTTCTGAGACAAAAGAATGAGGGTGAGGGATGAGCGGTTAGTCAAGCAAAGAGAAGCATTCCAGGGGGAGGGGGTATTTTTATATGGAATATTTATTTTCTTCTGTTTATTTTATTCAATTTATTTAAAAAATAAACACAGCACCTATACTGTGGTTGGCAAGTACTGTAAAGCATTTTTCTTTCCATTTCAAAGAACCCTTAACTTGAATTGTCTCCCCCGGTAAAGATGTTTGAAAACCCAAAGCCTTTATTGTGATAACACAGAAAGATCTTATTACACTAAATTTGGAAAAATTTGACTTTTATTTGCTGCTAAGGTATGTAACCTGTAAAAATTGTCTAAAGAAAACCTCTGTAGCAAGCATGGGCAACAACACTGGTTGTACGATTGATTTTTAAATCATAAAGTTAATCACTGTGTCTAAATACTTCCCCTTTTATTCCATTTCTTGTTTTGTTTTTTTTCTTTTTTTCTCTAAGCTACTACTCAACATGGGACTGATAATAGAGAATTTTATTCAGATTTTATTGCATAACTTATACAACAGCTTCCAACTTTGTTGAGGGATTTGTTGCGAATGGCAGCAGTGAAAAGTTGTATTGTATAATCATGAAGAGTGTATAGCAGCCATTAACTGTGTTCTGCAATGTGTAGAGTTAAACTCTGCTGTGACTTTAAGTCTTACATTGTGCTTAAGTCGGAAAACATCCTCTAACCTCTTTATAATTATGGTGGAGAATCTGTTATAACACAGGCCTTTTTCTGTTCTCAAAACCTTGGAAACCTTGTGCTGCTATTTCTTTACACCACATTACTCATAACATATGGTCTGAACCAACAGAGAGATGGTCAGCCAGATAAAGATGGAATAACGCTGAATCTACAGCACCTGAGGATTGAGCGCAGAAAAGGGTGGGACTCAGATCACTGGGCGATTTTTAACTCTTTGTTAAAAGAGGAAAGGAATTCACAGGATTTAAACATCGTGCAACGTTTTCAGAAAAGACTAACTCCTGACGTGAGAGCAGATAGGGGTTGTAGAAAAGGTGTAGAAAAGTGCAGAAGTACCAATAATTTTATGGGACAGTGTTATCTATCTAGACCAGAGGTGTCAAAAGTATTCATGTTTATAAATCAAGTAGAAATATAAATCCTACTGTTTTTTACTGTTCACTTTTGTAGAAGTTAGAGAATCAACTTAAGTTTTTTACTCAATTAAAAGTGTAAAAGTACCATTTTTTAAACTACTTAAAGTGTAAAAGTTAAATCTAACACCATTTACACGTACTTCTCAACTATAGCTGTCTATAATCTGTAAATATTTTATCTGCTATTATCTGTCATTATTTATCCTATATTTACCCCACTAATATATACATATAATCCATATCCTAACTTTCCTATATAATCTGTATATACCTTTTCATATTTATTTGTTATAGCCTCTTAGAATTATTCTATGTTTATATATAACATTAATAGTCTATACATATACCGTCACTGTGCACATTTATATCCTGTAAAGCACTGATGGATAAATGCAAACTACATTTCGTTGCTTTGTTCTTGTGACAGTGTAATGACGATAAAGTTCAATTCTATTCTATTCTAAAATTAATGCATAAAAAAAAAGTTAAGGACAGATGCTTTAAACCGTATACTGGTTACTGCACTACCCTATCAAAGAAACATGTTTCTACAATCCTGAATGATAATTTCCTAAGACTTCAGTTTTTTAGTTTCATAACTAAGAGCAACAGTGTCAATTTTAACTTTGCATCATCTTGAAAAACTATTTATTGTGGTATTTAGGAAACAACAGGTTGGTGCAGTCCAACCACAAAGAAATTGAGGATGAAACAAACTATTTCAATGGTTTTTATATTTTTTTTAAATACCAACAAGCCCTAACAAAAATGAGTTTAAATGAAACAAAACTAATAAGTCTTTTTTAATGTAAGAAGAAGGCAGAGATAGTTACCAAAAAAAATGTAAGCAGTAGAAGTAAAAAGTTGTCTAAAAAAATAATAACTCAAGTAAAGCATAGAAAGCCAACATTTCTACATAAGTAATGTAACAAAGTATTTGTACTTTATTATTTGACACCTCTGATTTAGACAGCTGTTTTCTTTTGCTCCTGCACTGAATAAAAGTCTTCAAACGAAACCACCAAAATACATTTTAGACTTGTTGTCAGTGTATCAACCACCCAGACCTCTCAGGTCTTCTAGCTCAAGTCTACTCTGCAGACCAAGAACCAGAACCAAGCATGGAGGAACAGCTTTTAGTTCTTATGCTCCATAACTCTGGAGCACACACTCAGAAAACTGTAAAAGTGATAAAAACCCTACATCTAAATTTACTTTAAAAACACTCTTTTATTTTAGAATGGCATTTGACTGTGCCATCTAAATTTAAATGATTAATTTTTAAGTTCAACTTAATTTTATTATTCATTTTCGTGTTTTTTTTATCTTTTCATATACTTTTATAGTTATTTTATGTGCAGCACATTGAATTGTGTTACTACTGAAATGTGCTAAATAAATAAACTAGTCCTCCCTTACCCGAAGGCTGGATTTGGGCTGACTTTTCGCTACTGTGATAATAACTTTTCAAACATCGTTACCAGGAGTAGCAACAAGCTGGGAGAGTGCTGTGTGGGCAGCATGACATGGAGCAACAAAGCTGATGTGTTTGAAGGGTAGTCAGAGGTATGTTGCAGTATCAGACAAAAGAATAGTGGCTCTGAGATGGAAGTGCAATGTAGCATAAAACATGCATACTGTGAACAGGTTTTAAATAAGCCATTTGTATAAGGAGCTGTCGCACGGCTTAGTTTATAAATACTCCATAAACACACTGTAAAAATGTTTTGTGCTCCTAGAACTTATCAATCAGGTAGAACAGATTTATTTTTTATTTGCTCACATATTTATTATATTGTAACTCTAAACTTTAAGGAAAGTATTTCTTACTAAAACTATTTAGTAAGTTATTAGTTGATGCTGAAATTAAAATTTATTAAGTATATTTATGTTTTTTCTTTTATAAAATGAACCAATTTTTAATAATTATGCTGAATTATGTGAGATTTTACGAAAAGCTACCAATTCCTTGGAGCATGTTTCCCTTCAGTTTAGTGTTTGTGGATACTTTAATTATTTGGATAATTAATGATCTGCTATTTGTAATCGGTTATGTATTTCAGAGCTGTTTAATCTTTATTTTTACAGTGTGCTGGTGCTGGTTTTTGGGATTTAAATTTTCTGGTATCTCTCTTTCACTGGCAGCCTCATCTAAACAGTCGGATGCACGTCATGAAATGGAATTAACAGCACAACAACGTTATATATAATGGGCACAATTTCAACATGGGACTGGATGGTAATGTAAATCTCAAATTAAAAGCACATAAATGTGTTACTCTACATGAAACAGAGAGCGATTTTAAAGGCAGTAACATGTTGAATGTTCTTAGTGTATTTGCTGGGTGAGTTATTGCACTTCCTGAGATACAGTTATGATCCAACCTATTAATTCCTTTAGTGGATTTAGGTTTAAAAAGATATTTTTTCTAACATGCTACTTCTGAAAGGGGATAATATTAAGGTTTAGGAGCCAGGGTTTCAACTTGAATCTGAGCATAAATCAGTGAAAGAGGCAAGACTTAGGGTGATGGCAAAGAGGCCCTCGAGCCTAAAAGACAAATGTTATATACTTCTGTGCTTATATACATAAAGTGGTTGTTGAAAAAAGTTGTGAGGTTGACAAAGGTTGACAGAAAAAAAAAAAAACTCAACATCAAATAACCTTGGATATCAAATTTCAATTTTGTTTTTGGATTTCTGTAAAAGCTGAACGGTCTAATAAACAAAGCTGTTGTCATTCCTATAATTATTTATACCAATAATAGGTTTAAAGTATCTTTCTCATATAAAAGGAGAAAGCATATCAAAAGTGGAATTTGAACAAATTCATTCAATTTAAAATACAGTATGGTAGATATAACTAGTTTTTGTTCACTTTAAAGTGAATCTAATTGGATTGAATTCAACTGTTCTTTAATGGAAACACTGCATAGAACAAAATAACTCTTAATTAATTTAGATGAACTAAACCGGATAAGACATAGAATGACATTTAAATGAAATGCATTAAACTTCAATATATTTATCTGAATCAGAGACCGCACTAAAAAGGAATAAAAAGGATTCAATTTAAATGAGATAATTCTAACTGTGCTAAACTGGCTTAAAATTAAGATGACCGAGTGCTAAACAAACTAAAACTGAGTTGTAATGAGACTTATTGAACAGAGCTGAGAGGAATATGACTGAATTAAACTTAAACTGAGTTAAACTGAAATAACTCAGTAACTGAACCAAGCTGCACTGAACTGACTTGAACAGAACATGACTGTAACTAACTACCCATTTAGCAATTAACTGAATCAAAAATAAATATAATTTAATTATTGTAAAGGTTGTAATTTATAAGTGAAATATTTTTACTCATAAAAACCAACAAACAGCATTTTTTCAGTAATGTTTGCAATGTTACAGTATGTTTATGACATTGGCCATGAAAGTTATTTTGCTTTGTCAAAACTTTATAGATATTATTAGAGTTACTATTACAAGTTGTTATATTTTGTATCTTTTATGTATGGCCATACTCAGCTTTTTGAAGCAGTGAGTCAAATTTAGACATTTGCCTACATGTTCCTCTGGCTCTTAGTTAATAGATGGAGAGCTTTTCTCTCTCCGTTCCTCTCTCTTCCACATGCATACACCTACATATATAGAATTGTATGTATTTCTAAATTCCATAAATTGGCAGCACATTTTTCTCCCCACTGTTGAGTGTCTCTCCCCAGGGCATTTCAGCTTTTAGACTAGAAAAGCTGAAGCTCAAACACCAGCCAATCGACTCACTCAGCCACGGGTATTTAAGATGACAAATGTGATATCTGCAATATTTGCAAACTGTTGGATGTTTTCAGTGTTTACTGATTTTTAAATATAGGTCTCATTTGATCATGAAACAAATGACTGCAGAGAGGCAGACTGAGGTTTTGCTACAGTTAGGCTTGAATTTTAAAGTGTTATATTCTGTGGCTGATTTGTGCTTTGAGTTTTCTTTTTAAAGTCTTTGTTTACTGAGTATTTGATGTATTTCTTATTGTATTTTATTCTGACTTTATGCAGATTTCTTCCTGGTTACTCCCTGTCTGTTCATTAATTGTTAGTCCCTGTGCCAAAGCCAACATGCGGCTAATTGATCCCCTTCACCTGTGTTTACCTATTTAGCTCATTGTCTGCACCTGTACTCTGTTCTTTTTAAGCCCTTTGCCTTAGTTTGTTACTGGGTAATTTTGTGTTTGCCTCCTACCTCCATGCCCATTTTGTGCTTACAATCCATCTTTATTTTATTTCTTTTTCATTAAATCCCTCTTGTTACATGCTACTCCTAAATACCTAACCCACCTTTATGACTATAAGGTTCTTTTAATTATATAGACAATAAACTAAATCTTCAACATCTAAGTCACCAGCACATTTGATCTTAAAAAAAATCCAATACAAAGACTTTTATATGTGTACACAGTAAACTTAACTGTGGTAGTGTATTTGCTATTTAATTAGAATTTGTAAAAATAGGGTAATTCTTTTAGTGATAGGTTTTATTACTGTAGGAATATTGGTACTATGGTCAATAAAATATAAATCAGTAACAGAGATAAGGTTTTAAAAGACATTTTAAACATTTTGGAAGGATGCAAATTTGAAAAGATAATTCAGTATCAAACTCACCACTGTGCTTGCTTTTTTAGAAACCATACTGATTTAAACATGCCAACATTGATATAAGGTAAAGTACTGCTGCGATAATGTCCTGGCAGTAAATGTTTGATTTATAGATAAAGTGCTTTACTGTTGTACAACAAAACTGTTTCACAGTTATCGCAATAAAAATAGATCATAGTTCTTGAACTGAATTAATATTTGGATTTTGATTAGGTCTTTCTAACAACTGAAAATTCTGATATAATCTGTTTTTTATTTCGTTGGCAGTACGCCTATGATTGTTTCCACCCTAACTGTTAAAGAGAAACACATGTTCTACTCACCCATATGAGTTTTGTGTCATTTGGAGCTGTTCTGAAGATATTCCGTTATATCCAAGGTTATATCGAAGTAACGTCTACGTTTGGGCAATGGCTTGAAGGGACAAACTGAACTGTTAATAATTTATTCTTTATGGTATGCCAGCATTCATAACATGTAGGCGACTCACTGTCCCTCAGACATCGACGGTTATATCTTTTATATTTATATCTTTTAAAAACAAAGCAGAGTGTGTATGACGGCATCCGCGCGTGCCAGCTACCGTTCATTCATCCTGTCCGCTGGATGAAGTAGTTTTATTCACATGCCTGGAAGATGTCTAGTGCTACTACCAAAGATGATCTCGTTCTCGAAATGGAATTGAACGATTCAGATTAGCTAGAAAAATGAATATAAGGTGTAGAGCGTAGCCGCCTGTGGCCCGGGCTGCCTGTCACAACTCCAGTGCTGGCGCGTGGATAACGTCATACACGCGCCGCTTTGTTTTAAAAAAAATATAAATATAAAAAATATAACTGTGGATGTCTGGGGGACAGTGATTCGCCTACATGTTATGAATGCTGGCGTACCATAAAGAATAAATTATGAGCAGTTTGGTTTGTGCCTTTAACTCGTTTGCCCATAGAAAGACGTTACTTGGATATAACCTACTTACTTAGATCTGACCGAATATCTTCAGAACGGCTCCAAATGACACAAAACTTATATGGGTGAGTAGAACATGATGTAATAACGTAAAATCAAGGGCCCAATGTAAAAAAAACGTTGTTCCCCTTTAAGTTTTCTGAATTATTTTGCAGCCTCTTACAGTTTTTTTCTTTGTTTATTTGTTCCAGAACTCCTCTATATTTGGTTCCATCAACTTTGTGACAACTTTTTAATTTATTTAAGGAAAGCATCCCCACATCACGATGCTCTACTCAAGTTGGCTTAATGTGATGAAAGCACTTTCTTCCAAATGTTCATTACAACCCCTGCATGAATTGTGGCCAATTTTAAACAAGATATTAAGATATTTTATTTTTGACAACAGCTATGACAAAGTTATAGCTGCCTTTCAAAACAACCGGCAGGTGGAGGGTATTGCTGATGTATGCAGTTCTGAAATACTCTTTTCAGTTTTTGGATGATGGTTTTTGAAGTTTTTCGTGAGGTGTTGTAATTTGTTTTTATGACCAAATCCTGCTTTAAAATAATGCATATTCTTATCCCTTACCAGTTAGCCTGTGGAGTCACCAATTAGATGACTCTTAAAGCCGGGAATACACTCTGCGATTTTTTCAATCGTTGCACGCAGTTGCAGCTCACAATGTACGACAAAACTGCACGGTTTCATCGTACAGTGTGAGTTCACGGCTGATTCGATCTACCTGCTCACACTATACAGTACGTCTAAAAACAATGTCGGACTGACCTCTGCAGTGAGATGGCACTACTCAGACTTGTCTATCCGAAAGCAAAATGCGTAGAAAAGGAATATGAAACTCAATAGAGTGAAATGCGCTGCCTTGGAAATTTGTGCAATTTTTTGTACTGAAAACCCTAAGAAGAAAAGGCGACAACGTATTTGGACAAAGACATGGCTGAGCAAACATGGCTACTACAGTCTGTCAATTTTACAGAAAGAACTCCATTTCACTCGCACCCCCACCATGCTTCTGTGTTTATATCTGAGAGGAAGAAGAGGAAGATTCCTTGTTTGCTCACTGAGTGATTTGCTCACGACAGTCGACTGAAAATCAAATATTTTTGTTTTTTCTCCCGACCGAACCATTCCTGATCGGGAGATGGTTTTGAGAGGCTGATCGCCCCTCCTTACCCCGTGTACTGTACACTACATGACTCACAACGCACGAAAAGAGCAAAAAATCGCAAAGTGTAAGCCCGGCTTAAGGCAACCGGCTGGATTTATTCTACTTTTTGGGTAACAAAGAAAGTGGCATAAAATACAACTCAATGCGAGTCTTTTTTTATGTAACATTTTATGAGAAGGTACACAAAATTTTATTAACTAGGGAACGCCTAGAGAACTAACTAGAATCTAATGGGTAATTACTGGGTACTTACTGGAGAACACCCGGCCAAGCCTTACTATATGACTGCTGCTCAAACAAGAGTACCTAATCAGGAACTATTGTGTAGTTACCAAGGAAAGAGAGTAATTAATCAGGAACTAATGTGTAGTTACCAAGGAAACAAAGAGTTAGTAAGCAACTACAGGGATGTTAAAAAGGAAATGAAAGAGAAACTAATCAGGTGATCAGGAACCAAAGGGTAGTTAACCAGTACTTATAATGGGACTACTGATTTGTTGCTGCAAAATTAAAGTAGACATTTTTAATGCTGGTTCTGTAAAACCCTACAATTATCTAATGCTTTTATCTACCCTAAAGTAAAGTGAACCATCACATCAAGTACTTACTGTAGAATTATTCATTACCTAATCACTACCTGGCCACTATCTAATGTTTTTTTGTACCCTTAAGTAAAGTGCAACTACCCATACATTTTTGCTTAGTTGCTTTTTGTTTCCCAGTTAACTAAGCAGTATTTCCATAACAAGGGTGGGCTGGGTTTTCCCATTAAGTACAGGTTAACTACCCATTAGTTCCTGATTAGTTCCCTAGGCGCTCTCTAGAAGTTAAATTTGGTGTACCTTATTGTAAAGTTTACCCTTTTTTAGATTTTCATTATAAAGGAAAAACATGTACCTTTGTGGTTACTTTGTGTTGTTCTACCACATAAAATCTCAGTAAAATATACGGAAAGTTTTGTTTTTAATGCGATAAAATGTAAAACAGTTAATGTGCTATAAAAAATAACACAGTCTCATTTCAAACTTGTGAAATATTGATGCTTGGTCAAGCCCCCTATGCTTCAGATACTGATGCTAAGGGGGTACACCTCTTGTCATTTATTGACATGCAGGGTTCATGACAGGTTGTGACAGGAATGTGCAAAGAATATCTAAGAACTGCAAAGTCGAAAACAAACACTGATCCATCTCTTACTGTAACCAAGACCCTACAAAAACACTAGTATACATGTAACCATAGAAATCTACCAATAACCTGCGTGTTACATGATACACTGTCCGCAACCTGTCATTTACCCTGGGTGTCATCAGTATGTGACACACAAGGAGCTTTGACCACACTCCAGTATCTGGGAGTGAAAATGTGTTGATAAAACATGTGTCTAGATGAAAAGAGTGTGCATGTGTGAATTTGTGTAGCTAAACCATGAGCTAAACGTAGCATCACCTGGATCCTTCTGATCCTTTTGACCTTTCTCAACTTCGGCAAGGAAAAGGAGAAGAAAGAAGATAAAAAAAACAGATGTTTAGAGTCAGCATGTATCTGTGATTAGTTTCACGGTACTTTGGGGCTCAGAGGTGTTGTTTGTTTTCTGTTGACCCATTCAGAGGATCTGCTGGGATGGTTTCAGCTGCAGGAAGCGAGATATTTGAGACAGACAGACATTACATTGTTAAAATTATAAATAAAGAAACAGAAACATAAAAAGCCTGTGAAAAACTGGAAATGGGAAAAAATGGTAAGATGTTTGTTAAACAGACAAAGCTTACACTACTTTTAAAAGGACATGACAAAAGTACTGTGATTACAGACAGGACACAAAAAGTGACTTGATATGATTAAAGTAAAATTTAGATAAACGTGAAGCTCTTGAATCCGCACATTGTCTGTAATCCCCCTTCCAAAGCTCTGTCGACAGATGCTCCTTCACTATAGCTGGTGGCGCAGAGAGGAAATAAAAGAGAGGCCTACCTGTTTGGCAAAGCACTGACATGATCAGACCAAATGACTGCAGAGGATAACAATGTAAGCAGTCTAAAAATGCATTCAAGTCAAAAGAATGGGCGTACAACCAAAAGAAAGAAGCTTTACAGACCAGACTGCTCATTCATATCATCACAAACAGACGGTGCCTAAAAGAGGACCCCCGACCGGTCTAGTGTGGTACTTCATAGATCTCTGGGTTGGTGCGCTCCCCACTCACTCTGACACATAAAGGCACAGTTAAAAGCAAGCATGGCGCCAGGAGCAGCATCTTTAAAGAAGGAGAGGAGGCCGTAGAGGGAGGAGAGAGCAGGGAGAGGATGATGAGGTTACTCACGGATGGTTAAATCCATCACTTGAGAGGCCAAGCAGAAGACAGGGTGCTCATACATTTCCCTCTTTTTCCCTACAAAAAAAAAAAGGATTGTAGCATGCAAGAGGCTGGGGTCAGACGTGGAAGGGCTGGAGTTTAGAAGCCAATGGAAAGAGGGCTGTCCAGGTAAACAAGACATTGTGCTGGATATGCATCCCCAGTGGTTAAGGAAACATTTGCTTTAGTTTGAGCCAGGCGTCTCACAAGGATATGAGGGGGAATCAATTCACACAGTGAGAAAAGATACTAAGGTGGAAATCCTTAGTATCTTTAGTAACATGGGGTTTTCTTTCATGGCACCAGCAAGTTTTACTCCGGTGAGAAGGTGAATGTTTGACACAGAAAAAGGTTGGAAGACAGCCCTCTGCAAAAGTCTTCTATTGTCCCTCATACCTTTATACTTCATGTCCAAAAAGCAAAAATTTACCTTCATGTTTAAAAGTACGCTTGTTCGTTATTTTACCAGACTTTTTTTTTTTTCACTTACTTACTTTTACTTTGTTTTACTCATCTTTTAATCAGTGTAAGAAAGGAAAATTAACCTTTTTTTAATTTTAAACAACTGACTTTTTTTCACTTTCGGTCACAATTAAATATTTCAGGTTATCAAACAAATTTTAATATTGAAAAGCATAACAAAGCATATACAAAGCTCAATCTTTAAAAGATGATTTTATTTATTTCGGGGAAAATCCAATCCTTTTTACTTTTTACCAGACGTCCTTTAAAGGAAAAGTTCGGTCAGCAAGGAATAATCACTGGTTAATTATTTATACCTAAAACTGATACGTTTGCGGTGAATTCATGAATTTAACAGTAATTAGTAAAAAAATAACTGAGGCTGGGAGCGGCCATTTTTTCCCATATATAGTAACACATCTTTTGGCAAAGACGTCACGGTGGGGTAACCCTAGCGCCATTCTCCCCGCTTTACAAGCAAAATCAATGGGAACTACAAGACACACCTGCAATCACCAATAATTATATAAGATTTCAAGACGATCATGAACAACCACAGGTTCATGATTTGATTGCCAACTTGAAGAGGGAGGATTTGCAATTGAACTTCTGGCCAGATAAAAAGTAGTGTTCTTTGACAAACATTGATGTCTCCAGTAAAGCACATTCAAATGAAATTACTCTTAATTAAAAACAATCTCGTTTATTGAACAGTATGTAATAATTTCATACTTAAACTGCTTTCAGAAGTTTGATTTCTGAATATGACCGGACTTTTCCTTTAAATAGAACCTGTATCAAACATGAGGTAGTTAAAAGATTTTAAACAGCAACACATCAAAGACATTAAAGTGGACTTTGAATGAAAGAAAAATCATTGACACCAGTCAGCCTGGAAAGGGTTTCAGAGAGTTTCAAGAGATTCAGTCAAATATACTATTTACCTTGTTTTGTTTTACAGCAGAGAGTATGAGGATCAACTTAGAGAAAATTATGTAAATGAATTGAAATCTGCCTTTATTACTGTCTAAAATGTACATAAATTAGATTGTCTTTTTTTTTCATAGTTGTGTTATTTTATATATTTGTTTGGATTTTTTACTTTAAGAATAAATTAAAAATCAGTTGTTAGATTGCCATTTGCTATGATAAAGTTTTCTAAAAAAAAAACAAACAAAAAAACAAAAAGAATGTTAATCTGTTAGAAAAGTACAGAATTAATTAAATTACATGTAGTTATACAAACAAATCAAAAGCGTGTTTTAAAGTAGTATTTTTAAGGGTGGCTTAATGGTAATAGGAAATTCAAAAATTACCCCTGCATAAACCTCCAAAAAATCTTTAGAACTACTAATAAAAATTAACTATTACAAAAGACCTGGCTTTATTAAAAAGATATATAAAGACATGAGGGGTGATTTAGAGCTTTTTGCACAGCACTGAGATATAATGCCGTAATGTTGTCATTTTTCATAATCCATGCCATTAAACAAAGGTCATGTTGTCATATCTCATAGCACATGCAGGTGAAAGGTGCTGGTTTGGACAACGGGATTTAAAGTTTGTAAAGCCCTCATAAGTTTGTATTTTTTTCTGTATATCTGGTCTTAAACCTTCTTTCAAGTTTCTAAATCAAAGATGCTACAAAATATTCTAATAAAGAAATATTGTTTTACATGTCAAATATCAGAGAAAATGGAAATATTCAAGTATTTTAATTAGTTCAGGAAGTCTCCTGCAGGGCTAACAAACTCTGAACCCAATATTTTCTCTGCAATCCCAGCATTTATTTAAAAATAAGCTTCATATTATAGAGGTTTAATTAAGCCATATCTGTGGAGGAAGAGAGAAAAGCATAGCGAACAGGGAAGGATAAAGAGCAAAAGATTGTGATCTTAAGCGGGATCATTATACAAAGGTGAAAGGAGGTGGGGGCACGCATAGTTAGCTGCAGAAGTCATAGACGTTAAGAGTTAAAGTGAGAAAGTAGGCGAAATGAGGAAAATGCATCGGGTGGGAACTGGGAGTCAGAGTGGCCACTGAGTCAAGCTGAGCTACTGGTCCAGTCATTTAATAATAAATTTAAATACTCAAGGCACAATGAGAGATCAGCACATAAACAGATTTCAGGGCTTTGGATTTGAATGCATTTTTACTCACACACCTCTACACAAAAGCCAACTTGACCTACTGAACTGCACAGTGCTAAAGCAGGCCTGAAACAAAGGAGAGAGTTATTGAACGGAGAGACAGAAACTAACGGCACACTGTTAAAAAAAATAACTGACGGAAACCACAAATCATTTGGGGTATGGGCTCAAACTGGCCATGTACAAGGTGCATTTAACAAGAGTAAATAAAATAGTTCAAAGAGACAGATTTAAACAGGAGTGAGGAAAATGAACATAAAAGGGAATAAACAGTGTTCAATTTATTTTTCTACTTTCTACATAAACTGTTGGTATTAAAAAGTTTAATGGAAACATCAAAAGGCTACAAACTCAAATATATATGCTCAAATATATATTTTTTTAGGTTACCTTCAATTTTAGCATAGTCTTTGATCCGCTGGTAGTTCAGCTGAGCAGCCTGCTCCAGACATTTGCGGATCACTCCTTTAACTTCTTCAGGAGGAACTGGAGTGACAATATCCTTCATCAGGACCTAAATGAGAAGCAAATATTTAACAAGGATCGGATCACAGGTTTCTATTTTCTTTGGTGTAATGTGTTTTTTTTTCTACAAACCCTCTCGAGCAAGGACAGTGTGGCTTTCAGTGCACCCTCTGGACGGCCGAATGGGAAAAAATATCTACGAGGCAAAACCCAATTTTTAATCAAAGCACACTAAGTATGTGCAGGTGTTGTTTTATTTCTGAGCGAGCAGTCACCTGAAATTTACAATGTGGTTCTCCAAAATGACCCGCAACTTTTCTTTAATGTCGTCAAAGCGCTCCTTCTCGTCCACTTTCACCGTGCTCAGTCCATCCGGCCTGCGAGGATCACACCCAAACACTTTTACCGAGCTGAAATTCTTCAGATGACCAACTAATTGAAATTTTCTCATCTGATTAACAAAAATAAGATAAAGAAAAACTCTGGTTGACCACTAGCAGCTCCTTGGAAGCTGAGATCAAAGCCTGAAATTAGTTTTTTTCCCAGTCTCACCTTTTTTCGCTCTGAAAGGACTTCTTTCTTTGTCTAAGCTTGAATATGCACACTCGCTTAGCAGCAGCCTGAGGATCTGGGCTTTGGGAGCTCTGTGGGGATACTAGGGCCTCGTAGCCCAGCGGTCCCCAATAGCTGCTGCCCTCTCTGACTTTTACGGACGCATGGGAGAATGAATAATATGGACAGTAAGAGACTATGGTAACAAAAGAAAGAAAGAAAAGAAAAACAAAAAAATATGGTAGAAAACAAGGATATATATAGAGAGAGAAACACAAAATTGATAAACACATAAAATACAGAAATAAACAAAATAACTTAAATATGAGCAAACTTAAAGAGGACAAAAATGGGATGATGGGTGGGGGCTAGTTTCAGCTCTTTGTGACTGAATAATATTTCATGTCCCATATTACTCCTCGGGTGCATCATTATTTTAATGATTTGTTAGAGACGGTAGAGGATTGTAATTGCTCATATGGAGTTTCACAAGGATCTCACAAAAAAATCAAATCTTTAATTTCGGTGAGTTATTTGTTTTCTTCTGATAATCGTTTTTTAAACCAATGAAAAATTTAAGAGGATGACTCAAACGCAGAGGATGACAAATCACTTGTTGATGAGATGTTGGTGAGATTAAACTCTCTCATATGAACTTTGTTCTGTTTATCCAAATAAATGAGAGTTGTCAGATAAGATGCGGACTGCAGTTAGAGAAATCCAACCCGTCCCTGTAGAACACAGCGTAATTCATTTACATAATCGAGTGCTATTTAAATAATGTGGTTTTAACATAGAAAGTATGGCTCATGGTCCAGGAATCTACAACTCTATTTGCTAATTAAAATGAAAAGCCAACACAAAGGTTGCATTTAGGGATGCAGCCACTAGAAGGACAAGCTTGGTAAATGTTGGTCGCAGGTCAAAAGAAAAGAGTGCACACCTGTTCCCATGGACATGGGATGCACAAAAAGCAAAGCTGTAGTGCAGAAGAGTGGGGTCGATAATGGCCCCATTTTCTGCCCGCTCCAGAAGATCACGTAGGTAACACAGATGTCTGTGACAGCCTCGGACTCCGTTTCTTGCACAGTATTCATCCAGGACAAACACTTGACCCGGGCTGAACCATCCCTGCACAACACAAAAGCATGTGAAGGCTTCAGTACTGCAGAGCAGTAAACAAAAACAGAATTTTCATGTCAATGAAATAGCTGGTAGAATCACTTACCAAGCAGCAGAAGGTGTCATTGAGCCTGTGGTCCAGTGTAAGCCGCTGCAACATCTCAAAAAGCGAGGCGTGGTCATAGCTACATGGGTTAGCGGAGATAAACTCATCCATGCCATGTTTCTGAGCTCTGTCAGCGTCTATCCAGCCAAACGGCACAAGGAAAAAGACACGTTTTAGAGGAGAGAATGTCAGTGGGGCATAGGAAGATAGTGATGCTTCAGTACAACTCAACAGGACTTTTTAGCTACTTCTAAGGGCAAATTATAATAATTACATCTTACATTGTCAACTTGCATTATATTGGACAGCGTAAAGACTGCATAAATATCTATGATTTTTGTATTAGTGAATGAATCTGTCTGAAGCTAATCTCAAAGGTATGAGTTTTTCAACTGTATGTGCATGCATGCAGCTATGGTACATCACCTCATTTTATGAGACATCACTTAAGTGATAAAAGGTGTTAGAAGAAGAACATTGACCTAAAATACTATTTTTTTTCTGTATGCATTCAATAGATTCTGCCATTCTCAAAGATTGTCACTCAGGTCCTGACAAAATATGTGTGCTAGTGGGGAAAAAAATGCATGTTTTTTAAAATACTTAGATTTTCTTTAAAAAATAGAGATTTGTGGTTGGTCCTTCATAACAGAGCACCACATCTGAGCATATTAGGACTTTGGTTTTGCAGTTTTGCTTTGTTGTTTGCCTTAGAAAAGATTTTTGGACTTTGGAAAACTTGCAGTACTTAATGTTTTCACATTTTCTAATATTACAACAACAACAACTGCAATGCATTATATAAAAATTTCATTTGATAATAACACAAAATAGGGCATAATTATGAAGTAGAGTTAACAATTAAAAGAGCATATGTTTAAAGTTTTGACTGATAAAAATCTGAAAGTGGGATGTGCATTTACAATCAGTCTTTTTACTGTCATACCTCTTTATAAAATCCAGCTCAGCTAATCCTCATTAGGGGTCAACTGTCAATTTCTGGTTACATCATTTATATACAGATGTTCTGTGAAGTTGACTGAGATTCTCAGAGAGCATTAATAAAGACAAAGCATAATGGTCTCTATTCTCCCAATCTGCAGAATCTGCTAATTCAATCTCTAACATTATGCTCTCTACTTTTTCTCATAGTAGCTTTGCCTGGTCTGTTCCTGTTTGGCTGTGACACCATCCTGGAGAGAAATATCAGCTGTGCTGCTGTCATCAACACACTTGTTTATAGATGTTGGAGATCGGCCTGTTTTCCAGTGTAGTCCTGTTTCTCTGACTGTGACTGACTGGATGTGCTCTTTTCATCCTCTGACATGGGAGCTGGCTCGGAGCTTGTCTGCATGGCTGTGTGTTTCCTGGACGGGGTCACCTTTTACAGCTGCTTTTTGTAACTCTGCTTCTGTCTACTTGAACCCCAGTCGGCCTCAGCAGATGGTCGCTCACACTGAGCCTGGTTCTGCTGGATGTTTCATTCTGTTAAAAGGGAGTTTTTCCTCTCCACTGTCGCTACAAGCATGCTTAGTGTGAGGGATTGCATTCGAGTCAATGAGTCGATGCAATCAGCTGGTTTTCCTTAGATAGAAAACTTTGAATCAATTTGACTGTAGGATCTGGTGAACTGTAAAGTCCCTTGCGATGACTTGTGTTGGGAATTGGTGCTATATAAATAAACTGAATTGAATTGAGTCACAGCTGACAGGTCAGATATTCTGTGGAGAAATTTAAAGCAAGATGAGGGTATAAAACCTCTTTTAAGACTGTCTCTCTGAGCATTGATCAAGCCATCCTCATTAACAGAAACAATGAAAACCAATTACAGGCTACAAAGACTGGAGGCTGGGCAAGATTTTCAGTTTTAGCAGGACAACATAGGATAGGTTTAGAGTAAACCATGTCCATTTGTTAGAATTCTAAGACCAAGTCAAAATATATTTAAGAATACTTGGAAAATGTTATCCATTTATTTTGGTTGGGCTTCAGGTATTCTTCAAAGAAGAACAATAGAAAAAGAATCAGCTTCAGATGAACAAACCTTTGAGACAAACTTCAAAAGGCTTCAAAGTGCATTAGGCTGTTTAAAATTGTATTGACCCAGTGAATCTCAATATGAATGCATGCTAAATATTTTATTTACTGAAAAAACAACTTGCCTTTTTTCTATAATTATGCCTTACTTTGTGTCAGTCCATCAAAAAAAAATGTATGGACTATAGTTGCAATGTGACAAAATGTGAAAAAGGGTATAAATACCATTGTAAGGTACTCAAATTAGGTCAATTTGGATTAACTACCCATAGTTTAGTTTGTTTATAGATTGCATTTACAAAATTAGAAAATGTGTTTTGCAAATATTAAAACAGGCTGAGAGACAACGACACAGTGATGAAGACCAAAGGTATTGTCATGTCCCATAGAGGGACTGGGAGGGTTTACATTCAGGAGATGAGTGATGACTGTTCTGTGGTGGATGTGGTAATTGGAGACCTGATCTTGTCAGGTCAAGGCCGAGATACACAACGGGACACAAATGTCACCCTGTGGGTCAGCGAGAGGGTACCATCTTGACTGTGTATAAGAAAGGACCCTATAGAGTTACACTCATAAACATTTTCATTTTCACTTCAGTCTGAGAAGGAAAACATGAGACAACTAAGAGTAAGTGATGATGGCAGCAGGAGACGGGAATAAAAAAAGACAAAAAAGGACTGTGAGTCATCATGAAAAAGGAAATGTTTTGATAAAATTTGTTTGGAAACACTGAAAGGAAATGAATTGGAGATGAGAGAGAGAGAATTTGTTAGGTAGGAGAAGCAAGGGGTGGGAGAGGCATGACAGAGGTGAGTTGGAAGCAACAATCATATTTGGACAAGTGAACAAATTTTGTATTGGAGGATTGAAATGGTGAAAACATCCAAAGTTCGGAAAGTGTGTAAGGGGGTTGGAAATGTGAGACACATAACACAGGATTTATTTTCTTTTGTGGATTTAAATGGACACATTAATCGAGAAACAATTTTACATAACTCACATAAAGTGTTCATAATAACTTTAACCACAAAATGACAAAAAAAAAATCACCAAAGTGAAAGTGAGATTACTTTTGCATACATGTATATGTTCCAACATGCTGGAGATCAGACTTTATAATACGCTTGTAAATGTCATGCACATCTGCAGACCCCTTTTGAAAATTGTCATTTTATCTTCTTTACATTCTTTAAGATTGCATTCTCTTATTTTTCTCTTCTCTACGCATTTGCAAGTTGACAATACTTGAGTATGTTGCACTGTATTCATGATCTATAAGGAGCACACTAACAGGCATACGACTACCGGAGACCTCTAAAAGGGAAAAAGCATTACCATTTGGTGCAAATACATGGGTAATTATAGCATGAAGCCAACAGAGGCAGAACTGTTATCATTCTCTGGAAGATGGGGGGAGGGATGGATGAAGGGTTCTCAGTTTTTACAGAACTATGGACACATGAAGCGGTTGGTGTCCTTTTTCAAGCAAAACAAGAGCAGTCAAAAGAAATCATAGTGACACCCCTCCTTTTTGGGAGGCGTAAGACCAGTCTAGCCTCTATAACTACAGGCCCATCTACAGTAGGAGGGAGTAGGAAGGAAGGGATCTGGAGTATCTTTACTGTAAGAAGGGGCGGCATTGGCTACTCCTTGTCTTTGGCATTCAGAATACTCCGCATACATATTTGCCAACTCTCATCAGTTAAACTCAAATAAAGGTAATTACAATGGAGCCCTCAAAAATAAAGCATAAAAGTTAATACAGTTAATAAATGTTCAAATACTGCATGAACTCCTTTTGCATGGCTAAACTACCTGCAATAGTTTGGCAAGTATAGTTTTAGGATCATCATCCCTCACATTTATTTAAACCGATTTTTCAAAAAACTATTCAAGCTACTTTACATTGAGGGACAGCTTATAAACATGCATTGATGGAAAAAGCGTGTGAGATCCATACACAGTGCAGGTGTTCAATATAACAGATAAGAAGTTTAAATGCAATTTGATTGTAAACATACAACAAAGGAATCTGTAGATGCAGTATTTGAGAGACTTATACATTTAATATGCTCTGTATCTTTGCTGACCTAAAAAAGACAGATCTTAGGTATTGAAATACCAAAGCAAAGGGGGAATTTTAGAAAAAATTGTGAGGAAAATGTAGGTGTGGCACATTACAAACTTCCAGGATAAAATCTTAATTTCACATTCATAAATCTAATACCGCTTCACATTCCAGATCAGCAGTGGGATACTAATGGTCACTATCACATAACACCATTGGACTGATCCTACAAACGTACCCTCAGTTCCTCCATTATCTCAACCTCTAAAGATACTCTGTGATATTTCTGGTTTTATAGATGTTATCATATTTTCTGTTGTTGCTTAAAGGTACATCTGTTTTCTTATTCTTCATATTAAGTTTCACTCCTGGCATTTGTCCACTCTGCCTGCTTCAGGCTAGAACTGCAGACTTAGAAGTAGAAATGTATTAAGGAAGAAATTATACTACTGGGAAACTTCTGGGTTTAAAGTTCTTGGAATATTTTGACGACATTTTTTACTCTGCATGTTTATTGTAAAGAGCACATAGTATAGGCCTACAGTAGAAACAGAAACATCCATGTGTAGGGTTAGACAGCCAGGGCTTGTTTGTTTTATTTAGGTGCAGAAGACCACAGCGATTAACAACTGCATTTAAACTGTACTTGCAATATGCATGCCATTGTCATATATTACATCATCACACAATAAGACAATGCCTCCCTGTTTACCGCTCATTTCACTGTTGGTGATGTTGGCACTAGTTCAAATAGGCTCCATGGTGAAGGTCACCAAGGGTCACTTCTGTGATGTCACTCTGCAAACTTCTTTCTTGGACATTAACAGTCTCTGAAAGTTTCAAATGTTCTCACAGTTTTCTTTAGGCAAATGTGCAGGTACCTGTCTGAAAAAATACTGGCCCCTAAAATGCTATTAATGTTTAATATAGTTTCTGCAATTATGTAACAGAAGAATAGATAATCAGTTCGCAATTGAGTTAAAGCTCAAAAGCAGTGGTGAATACCTCTGGTAGAATATTAAATGGGATTGTAGGAAGCTGCCCTCAGGTTTGGGTCTATTGCTTATTCCATCGATGCATGAACCTTAAAAGCTGTATCTTCAGGTAAAGGTGACTAATCAGGCTTCACATTGATTGGCCTATGCAACATATTTAAACATTTTTTAAGTTTATATATAATTTTTTAGGTCTTTTATATAAAATTTTATTCAATATAATTCATTTTCTATGCGAATAAATGAATCTGCTATCATTACCTTATGACAGAAAATTAGTCCACCACCTAATCTATTATCACATATTGTTACAAGATTGCTTTACAGTGAGGGATCTGGACACCAATAAAAATAAAGAGAGAAGGCAATTATGCAGAAACAGCTTTTTATATAGACTTCAATCATTGCTGAGTCAAATAATAATTTCTTAGATATAAAATACATGCATCCTATACGGGCACGAATGGATGCTTCTACTTGGCTCTACAAGTTGAGGTTATTAAAATAAAAAAATTAATAAACTAATATCTAAGACATGAAGCGAGACGTGAAAAAAGAGAAGAGGAAGAAGAAGAGGGAGAGAAGAGATAAAGAACGTTGCATTTGTCAGATAATCGCCGGGGATTATCTGAGCAGTGCCGGCTACAAGGAAGCACTTACCCTTGAGTCCAGCTAGAAGACAGCAGGGTAAGAAGGGACAAACCAGAATAACATAAAGACTAGCAACAAGGCTGAAGGAGAGCAAATCACGAGAGACCCTGACCTAGTAGCTGCATTTTACTAAAGAAGGGTCCAGGCAAAGCATGAAGAAGATAAAAAACACAACTGAAAAAACAACAGCCTATAACTAGCACAAGAGTGTGTTGGGCGGTGGTGTGTGAGCACATGTGAGGATGTGTGAACAACAGATGTTGAAGTATATTAAAAGACAAAGAGGAGGACAGGTAGAGAGAGGAGAAGAAGAGAGACAAAGAGAAGTAGACAGAGTTTATCCTCATCACTCCATTGCAGATGGTTTCTCCTGGAAATAGACTTAAAGGAGCTGAGGGCTCAATTCTGGGTACTGTCACTCACTTTTATCAAAAACAAATATTCCTGTAAAAAGGGAAACTGGCAAAAAGTATAAAAAGTAACAATAATTATTAAATTATTAAAATAATATGCATTTTTTTTTTAAATAAAAAGTATTTGAGATAATAAATGGGCTGTCCCTCCTTCCTGTTAACATTGATGTTTGGATTGACACTTGTATTACATAAATATATGGGTTTATGCACCATGTTTTTTTCTCCCACACTGTTTACATTTGATCACTGCTGCACTTCATTTCACTACTGAGCTGCGGCTCATTTACTGTCTGAAAGCTGTACAAAATAAAATGTCATTTTGTGTACACTGTGCATACAAACATCAACAAAAGTCGTCTAAGTCAACAAAGTTTGGTTTACATTTGATGTGTCCAAATTATCCACATATTAACACCATGCCAAATCTATCATCTGAATTTTGGACAGCTCCATGTTGAAAAACATGGGGGACAAGAAACAGATCCTACTGGCTGGGGATATAAATATGAATAAGTCTTATGATTTGGTCACCATTATCAACAGATTATGAATAACTTTTGTAAAAAGAAACCCCCATCACTCTTTGATGGCACAAGGATCCACTAAAAGCACTGGAAACAAATGTGTTTTCTACTTTTGCATCTAGTTTAGTGTTGACCAATTAGAGTATGTGCCAAGGCTGTGTCAACGTTTGTGGGCTCTCATTTCCATGCGGAATCTAGATGGGCCATGCAAAAAACAACCTTTAGGACTTTATTGTCCCCCAAATGGATTGCTCCCTAAGAAGGCTGCAATTACCTCTATTCAGAATAAAAATAAAACTTGTTACTCAGTATATCCATATCCTACCTAACCTGTTGTCGGGATATACAAGCTTTTCCTGCTCTGGGGCCTTTTTCATCATTACATCATTTGAACAGCTACAAAGTTACAATCTTTAAAAATAATGTCCCTAATACTTTCAAAATAACAAAAAAAGTAAAATTTTTGTTTTATTTTAAGGTGAATTATGTTTATAGTGTAGCATAGAACTCAGCAACCTTGAACAGATACTACTTCAGATGGTGGTATGTTAAGCAGTGTCTTGTCTCTTTACTTAAATCAGAGGAGCAGGGTTTGACTACTACTACTACTGACTACTACTGCAAAAAATGTGAAAAAAATATTTTACTTGGCTGTTCTTTTTTATTTATTATTTACTTGCATTGTGGGAAAAAAAGCTTCTTGGTTAAAGCATTAGAGAGCTACTAGCTTATATAACACATACACTGGTTATTTTAATAAACTAACTACTTAAAGAAGCTCCAGAGGTAGTTATCTATTTGTTGAGTGCTTTGTAAAATGTGCTTTTGAGGCTGACCCTAAAGGCAGACACATGCCAAATGACTCAGACAAGTAGTCTTAATTAGGAAAACTTGAGTACTTACTGCTGAATTTAACAAAAGCACCTGGCATATGTCACTATTGGCAGTCTCTGGTGGACAATAATATTTCCTAAGCAGGGTGTAGTGGGACTGCCAACCTGCATATTGGAAAAATGGATCACCTCAGCCTCTGCAGGTCCAGTCAGTTTAGAGCATTCATGTAAATGATCTAACTAATAAATCTGTGTTTTTATAGTGGATACGTTTTCCATCTCTCAATGCAGAACATCCATTAGAAATGTTACCACCACTCCCACATTTTCAGTTGGAATCTGATAAAACATCAAGAAGAGCAATAAACTGCTGAACTACTTTCTTAATCGATCTTTAAAAGTCGTTGATGATGCCCTCCCTGAGGAACTGTGAAAGCAAACCATGATCACGCTGTAATCTCAGGAAATTTACAGGATTTACAGTTGCTGTCAAAAGCCTACATACTTCTGTTTTGGTGACAAATTAAATCAATAATAGATATCCACTAAAAAGGCAAATCCAAACCCAAATCAAATGAAACAGGCACTGTAACTTACCAGCAATAGCTGTGAATCTAGAACACCAGAAATAAAGTTAGCCTATCCAAATACAATTTTTCTGACATTTGCTAATTTACTGTATACTCTCTAACAAATACTAGTCTCTGCAGAGCTGACAAATAATTAATATGATTCCTTATTATAAATGTGCAATTTAGAAGAAGCTCCTAAGGTGTCAAGAGGCTGATAGTAACCCTGAATGAGCTGCATGACTTTTCAACAACTTATAGTCATGATGCACATGAGACAATAATTTACTGAATTCTTCTTATCTCTTGATGAGGGAGCAGCCTTCAAAATCAAGAAGTATCATTTTCTGAGGAAAAAACATCCCAGACAGGCCTAAATTCTCCAAAAAACCTTGTGGAACAATGCTTATCGGTCTGAAGGAACCATACTTGCTTATTTTTAATTCAGATTGATCCGTATTTTTTATTAAGAAAGAAAATATGAACATTTCACTTTTTACCATCAATATATAAGACAATGATGTGTTCCATTATTTAGGATTATTGTGAGTCCAAGAATACAACCCAATTTAACAAATGGCTTTACTACACAAAAAGTTACGCTTTTGTAGAGTCTCGCACTAAATCTATGAGAATATTCATTAGATTGATTAGTTTAGATTGAACAAGAGGTATCCTCATAATCTGAGAGGTTTTGATTGCCTTGTACACAATGGAAAAAATAAATAAATTAAAAGAAAATCAGATTTTAGGGCATTTATGAAGGACAAGTGAAATATCAAGAGAAGAAGGGTTTGGAAAATATCTATATAAGGTCTAACTTTTGAAGTCTTAAGAATCTGTAAATGTAACAGCTGCTATTGTAAAGGATAGTGCAATATGAGCTGTTTCTATGCCAGTCAAACATAAACCTGTTTCTGTGTTGCAGTGTGAAGTGTCTCTTTTAATTTTTCTCAACTATGCAAGTGGAAACTACTTGCTCATAGGCTAAATTATATTGTATTATAGCATGGTGGTAAAATTTTGTTTATTTTAAGGCTAATTTAGATTTTAAAAGACAATGAGTTCAACCAAATAATGTTTCCCTTTTTTACAGAAAACTTGTAAGATACAATTTTCTTCAAATTTCTTAAAACAAATGTGTAAAAAAATCTTAAAGCCTTCATAGGACTTTATGTTCTTTCTTTAGGTGACCACTGCAGCAGAGTAAGGAAGGTTGTGCATGTAATATGTTCCCAGTGCCATTCAAGACCACCAGGGGGTGAAACATGTAATCGAGGGGGTGTAGCCACAATGTTTCAGGAGGGGGGATCTGTGCCGCTGTGTAGATGTCTTTTGAATGGAGGACAGCTGGCAGCAGCGGAATCAACTAACCACAACAAGGATCACGTACTGGACAAAAAATAAACAATGGAGAAACAACAGAGAATCTTACGTGACAGAATTTTTGTGTAACTCAAATAATTAACTCTCATACATTCAACAAACAGTGAAAAAGGCATGTTTTTGGTTTGTTTGCATGTATAGTAGTTCAAGCTGAGCCAATTATTTCTCTACATCCCATCTAAATAAAACTGTATTGAGTACAGGTGAAAAGAAGGATGCACACAAAAAGTTTTGTTCTGAATAGCAGGATCTATTACTGGGGATGGTTAATTAGATGTATTAATAATTGCGCTTGGTACGAGGTCTTTTTAATTGAGGCTATGGACAAAGGTGTCCTGACTTTTAGGTTAGAATGATAAGAGAGCAATGAGCACATGTGTCAAAACCAACCTGAGTAAGCTCTTACTGAGGGAAGGAAATTGTTGAGGGAGGGGGGCACAAACGACATTTAAAACAAAACCTGGTACAGATGGCACACTGTTTATACAGTCTTACCTGCCCTTTGCTACCTGACCTGGAGAATGCTTAGGAATACAAGTACAGTCACAGATTTATTAGAGGTTTTGTCACGTCTGGATAAAACCGGATTTAATCAGGCCACTGGTCTGAGTGTTTAAATCCTATCTGGGATGACTCTGCAGGTCATATCCTGCATACGGAGGCTGATTTCTCTTTCAGGTTGGTTGTTTCAATTGAACCGACTGATGAAGTAGCATGGAGGTGCATTGTTAAACACTGAGTGAGTGGTGAAAATGAGTGGAAGTCCATCAGATGCTGGAGGAAAATCTGTGAGAGGTCAATGCATTTGTGCGCGTGCTTTTGAGTGTTAGCTCTACGGGCACATTTCGTAGCTGCAGGAGGGGTGGGGAGCGCATGGCGTGACACATTTATGGGTTAGAGCTTTGAAAACTGATTTCTGCCTAAGCGGATACTTTGTGCTTCAGGTTACTTACAGAACTGAGAAATGGGAGCATCCATTTGGGCTGAAGCACCCCCCTTGGAGTTTAGTTTCTGGACCTGAGTGGGTGGGACGGGCTTGTGGGACTGGCCAGTAGCACGATACATGGCCTGGACCCACAGTATTCGGTCCTGCTCGTCATCACTGGCAAAGATCACAGTGTCGCCCTCCTTCACTGCGTTGAAGAAAGCCCTTCCTCCATCCAAGCCTATAAGATGTCAAGAAACAAACATCAAAGATAAAAAAAAAAATACATACATGCTTTCTTGAGTAGTTATACATTTCTTTCTTGTGCATACTTACCTGGCTGGGGGTCACTGTAGTCCACAGTATACCCATCTAGCTGCAGAAGTTCCTGTGGCTCTGATTTCTTCTCTCTGTAGCTGCACATTGCAAAGGTATACTGACTCACCTAAAAACAAAGTCAAAGAACTCACATTAACCAGCCACATAAAAAAATTGTTTACCCCCTGGGTAATAAAATCAAGATTAATGTTGAAAACAGTAAAAAAAAAAAACGTAATATCTAGATGTGTTTGTTAAAGTGTCACAATCGAAAATTGCCAAACTGGAGAACATAAGTTTCATGATATGACAATTTTGTTTTTGTTTTCTACCCATTGTCACAATCATTTTTATTCCACAAATTGCAATAAAATCTAACTGAATTTAAATGGGTCTGATACTTTAATTGCGTTCAGAGAAAAATAGTTTAGTTTTCTAAACACATTTTAGAAAGAGTCTACCTGGACAAGGACAAAGAAACGTTTCTTCCAGCGTTTCCAGACATTCTTCCCAAATGCCCATAGGTACCTATGGAAGCCATAAAAAACGGCAGTGTCATAAAGAATATCTCACAGTAAACATGAACACATTTCAAATACAATATTTATCACCATAATCTATTTCACGTCTCTTTTCACAGCACAACTGTCATTAATCTAACTTAATTCAAAGGTTAAGTTATCGAGTAGTGATGAATTCGGACTTCAGCCTTTTCTAATATAGATGCAGACTAAATACACACTAACATCCACCAGGGGGAGTTGTGTCCTACACAGTATTTTTCCACAGCATGTAAAAAGAAATGAGGCCAAGGAGCTGAGAGGTGTTGGAGTTATATAGAAAAGGCACAGAAAATCCTCAAAAGAATATCCCAGTGTGTCCTCTTTAGCTGTGGACTTTCTCTTACCCACAGTGCTTCATATTCTGTGGTTTGTCCATGCGTATAGCCAGCTTTATTTTGAGATCTTGGTCAGGGCAGGCCTTGGTCACAGTCATCTTATGGAGCTCTGACTGTTTGGGGCTGTTAGGTGTCGGGTGGAGGACAACCTGCATACAAAGACACAATAAACCATAGAATATATAGTCATTTAGCATTTGCTCCGATTTCCTGCTACCGAGTTTATTTCATTTTCCTTTGCAGCACTGAGCTGCAACGGCTTGTCTTTGCAGAGGCTGGTGATTATGTATTTGCCTCTAGTGCAAAATTAAATTGGGATGCGGTGGAGCAAAAGAAGAACACTGTTTCGTTCTGCCTCCAAGAAGAAGAAGAGGAGACATAATCTCTCGTTGCTGACTTAAGGAGCTTTGAGGAAGCCTGCTTTCCTCTCTACTGTGTTGCAGCAAAAGATCAAAGAACGTCGTCACAGACAAGGTCATCGTCACTATAGGGACATCTATAGTGCCACTGGCCCAGTGAAAATACCAGCAGAACTTCTTCTCATAGGTACCTGTTACTTTTAGGCACAATGTGGAGAACAGATTTTTGCTTCTACTTCCCCAGCATAAGTGTCAAATTAAGTGATAATTGAAACTAAAGTATCATTAATGTCAGAATTTAAGCAATAGTGATAACCTTTTTTCTTTTAAATTGGTTTTAATTTAAAAAAGGATCGACATTGTGGCCAAAAGAACCATAAAGTAGTGCTGCCAGTTAAATGTTAAGCTTTTTTATTGCACCTATTATTGCATCTTAAAGGTGTTAAAGATCACAATCTTCCTCTCTGCTTGAAGACCACTGCAACATTTTTTCATTTCAAATAACAACAAAATCAGCCCTCCTGATGAAAGTTTATTGCATGGACCTGCTGATGCACATTGCTAATAAGATGGCTGGAATATTGCTGTTATACATGAAAAAATAATGCAGCTATTTGCTAGAAAGTTTCCATTTATTTAAAGCATGGAGTAATGTAGACTGCAGCTCCACAAAATAAAGTAGATCTATAGGAGGGTTCCACAGCAGTACTAATAACATAAATGCTTTCCCTTCCCTTTAGCACCTGTACACTGCTGATCAGCTGGTAAAATAAATGCACATTTTCCCTTCCAGTTCAGAAATATACATTGGATGTTTTTAGATATTTCTGGCAGCAAAAACATGAACCTTTATGGTGTAATCAGGATTATTAAGCTATCCGCTGTGGTTAAACTAAAATAGGTGATAAAAAAAAACAGCACATCATCAAAGACCAGATTGCAGGTTTAGTTAAGCTTGTAGCTTGGCGTATTAAACATCTGATACTGTATTGCTGGGCTTGTGTTAATCCATTAGAAGTATTTTTGTACCCTAAAAACATTAAAATACTGTTTATATTACCATGTAAAACAACAAAAAAATGTAACTAATTTTCATAAATCAAAAAGTCATTAAATATCAATTTAGCTTTGCAAATGACAGCTGTCTTTCAGTTTTAGATTAAGTCAACTATCTTATTGTCTGTTGTTGTCAGTTACTGGATAAATAGCCTGTTATTGCTAAACATTGGTAATTTTTACTTAAGGAAGGCTTACCCTGAGAATCAAAGCCTAGACAGTAATTAATAAAAGGTTCTAATGTTAGCCTGTCTATAAAACTGTTGGTTCAGTTTTAAATGTACTATTATGTATATATTCTCATGTTTGGTTATCATTGACATGATCCTTTACTTTATATAATTTATATAACCTTGTGAAGGTGAGAGTGGGTATTAGTAGATTGAACTGTGAATAAATAAAGGTATTACCCTGCCCAGTTCCTTGTCTTCCAATGCCAGCACACCTGTACTCTCTGTAAACAGTTTCACCTTGACAGCTGGCAAAGGGTGTGTGGTGGTGAAGTCTCCCTGGGTTCCCCAGCTGAAAGACAAAACAGAAAACACTCAAGAGGTTAATTTCCATGACAGCATGTTGCGGTGATGTCATCTGTTGAACTGTTAATAAAAAGCTAATCTTCTCCTTTTTTTTTTTTTGCTCTTTATTTTTTTAAACAGTCAAACATACAATAGCATAGATAGAGGTCTCTTAAAAAGTATCTGCTATGTCAGTGAGTGAGGTCAGAATAGAACTGTAGCATTACAAACAGCACAATCTCAAGAGTGAAAAGACCCCCCAGAAAAAAAAAAGTAATTTATATATATATATATATATAGATATATATAT